CCGCACACAACCACACACAAGCGCCCACACACACACAAGCGCACACACACACACAAGCGCACACACACACAAGCGCACACACACAAACACAAGCGCACACACACAAGCACACACAAGCGCGCACAAACACACACAAGCGCACACAAACAAACACAAGCGCACACACACAAGCACACACAAGCGCGCACACACACAAACACACACAAGCGCACACACACACAAGCGCACACAAACACGCACACACATATAATAAGCCCACATATATATATATATAATTACAGAATAAAGATAGAGTTGTATATAAAATACATCAAATAGGGTAAATGGTTTGTAAAGCTCAGAAACTATTCGTCTGGTAATTACAGGCCTGCTTCCGTCAACAAAACCATAAAGGCGTGTTTTTATTATTAAACTGGCATTCATCGATGTGCTATTGGGTCAAATAATATCATAAAGAGCCAGAAGTGCCGCTCCTGATCACCTGTCTCCTCCTCATCTTCCTCTTCCTCCTGCTGTCTGTCCATCCTCCTCCTCTTCCTCCTCCTCTTCCTCCTGACACACACACGCTTTCAGGTTCTGTGCACACGAGCCTCGCTTTACTAGCGTCTGATCCTGAACCTGAACCTGAACCTGATCCTGATCCTGATCCTGATCCTGATCCTGATCCTGATCCTGATCCTGATCGATGTGAAACTGTTTCCAGGAGCAGCGGCACACAAACATCACGTCTCTCTCTCTCTCTCTCTCTCTCTCTCTCTCACACACACACTCCGAGATCCGCCTGAACACTCTCCGCGATGGACGGAACCAGCGAACGGCAGAGCCTCGGAGGGTTGGTGCTCGTTTACTCATAAACCGGAGAGCGTGACTTCAGTGAGAACGGAACGGACGACTGACGGAGCGTCCAGATCCGCGTCAGCATCAGCGCGTGCAGCTGCGTCACGTGACCTCGCCAGGTGTGTGCGCTGTGTTCCAGGTGAGCGGGGTGTGGATGCTGTAGGGTCACTAGAGCTCCTCGCAGATGTCTGGCTCGGGGCTGATGGGGCGCGTGAGGTCAGCGTTCCGCAGGCAGCCGGACAGCTGGCACCTGAGCGACGCGGCGGCCTTCGACTTCTCCGACGAGCTGCAGGACGACGAGCCGCACAGGTTCAGCCAGCTGAAGGTGGTGGTGTCCGGAGAAGCGGACGACGTTCCCGTGGCTTCACGCAACGGCGCAGCGGTCAGCACGCTGCTGGTGGACGACGACGACTCTCTGCTGGGCTCCTCGTCCAGTCTGGGGAGCCCCGGGGCCACACCGGACCCCTGCGACGGATGCCGCCGGACCAGAGAGCGCGACAAGCGCAGGAGGGTGATGCGGAAGCTGGGCGTCGCGGCGCTGCTCTACTTCGGGTTCATGGTGGGCGAGCTGATCGGTGAGCGCCGGCGCATCCGCTAGCTTCCGTAACCCTGCAAAGTGCGCAAATTGAAAATGCAACGCGTCAATTTCGCAAAAACACCCATAGATCGCATTAAAAGTGTTTACGCTCGCGTGGTTTTTCAGGCAATATTTCCCAAAACCGCAAAGGAAACGGGTTTTCGCTTTTACAGGTCACGTGGTGTATGTAAATAAGTCATAAAGTGTATACAGTGTTGCCAACTTTAGCAACTTTTCTTCCAAAAGCACCTAGCAACAAATGTAGCAATTTTTGTCATTTATTTGGCGACTTTTGTTAAGCGACTCAAATGATAAAAAGGCACATATTTTCCATCTGAATTACACAAAAGGAGGAAACCAAAGATGCCTAGCAGTACAATAATCACATGAATTAAGTTAGCTGCTACATGCAATTGTTCAATTTAATAATAATAATGATTAAATAATTGTTCATTTATGATCCACCTTGTTAGCTTGTACCTGAGATTGTTGAGCAGTTAGTACACCGTAAGAAAAATATCTAGAAAAGGTACTAGTAATTTTTCAAGACATATCCGTTGTAACCCGAAAACACAAAATGCTATGCGTAATTTAAAATGCAGGTGAAAAATCAATATGGAAAATTGCTTCATATTAACATAGCTTGTGCCCTCTTTTTATACTAACTGCTGATACTCTGCTTAAAACTGTAATAGTTCAGAATGTGTGGTTTTGCTAGTTTACAAACTAATAAAAAAAACTTCAGTTGTAATTGTTCAAAAATGTGTAAGTGTTCAATAATTCAATGTTGTATTTAAAAATAGTTATTTATATTATTTTATGAACAAATCTAAATTAACACCAAATATTTGTGTCCTGAGATTTTATGTAATTACACTTCAGTCACTTAACATCGCTTAATGGAAATACCGTCATTTCGCAATACGTTATTATTGACGGTTATCAAATATCGCTAAAGTTTTGCACAAATCTGTTCTGGAAACGTAGCTAGAGCTATGTTTCCGTCCACCTGTTTTTATGCGCATTTTGGGATATCGCATAAAGATTGCTGGATGGAATCGCCAAGATGCGAATAAAATCTAAAAATGCAGATTAAAGACGTATGCGCTCAACTAAGTAGGATAGAAGCATGCGAATAAACCGTGATGAAACACTTTTACTGCAGCAAATACTATTTATCTTAGCGCAAGTTAATCAGGAAGCGACAATTTTGTTATCTTCAACTCACTGGATGGAAACAGTGCTTTATTCGCAATTTATTCCAATTTTGCGCATTAAATTTAATTGATGAATTTGGATGGAAACATAGCTAGTGCGCTCCAGTGTTGGGCTCGTTACTCAAAAAATAGAATTTATTACTCTTTACTACTTACTCCTTTCAAAAGTAATATTATTACTTATTACGTTCTGGCAAAAGTAATTAGTTACACTACTAGTTACATTACTTTTCCTTCACGCCCCACAGAAGTTGCGTATCTTACCCCAAAAAAATCTTCTGAAATGTTACTAACAATATATTTCTGCCTCATCGCAGTCAGAAGTGATTACAAACACTCAGTGGTGACTTTTAAGTGTTGTATTAACCTCGTTAATTGTCATGTGTAGCTTGAAGCTAATTGTAGCTATAATATCTCTGTTACCTATATACGATTATATTTCAAGATTTATTTTATCAAAAGAAATAGCATACATTTGTAAGAAAATGTTTCGTTTTCTAAAAAGATTTTTAAATGTAGTGATACAATTTGTATCAGGATCAAAGGGATGAGTGTCAGCCGTGTAACGCCAGAGTAAAGTAACGCCACGACTTACACAGCAGTGTTCAGATCATCTTTTCTTCTTACAAAATCAACGTAACGGCAATATTTTCATCCGCTGAATGTACGCTTTTCCAAGCTTCCCTGCTGCTCTGGTGACTTCATGTGTTCACGAGTCGTGGAAATAAATCTAGGAATTATTAGATTGTTGGATTTGAAGTCAGTAGGTGTTAAAGCATCAAAAGTAACTAAGTAACAAGCTGTTTTATGGATGGTAACTGTAATATTATTACACTACTAGTTACTGCACAGAGGCATATTATTGCTGTAACTAGTTACAGCTGAAAGTTCTCTGTCTTTCAGGTGGATACGTGGCCAACAGTCTGGCCATCATGACGGATGCGCTGCACATGCTGACGGACCTCATCGGGATCGTGGTGTCGCTGCTGGCGCTCTGGCTCTCGGCCAAACCTCCCTCCTACAGATTCACCTTCGGCCTCCACCGGCTCGGTAGGCGTCTCGTCTCGTCTCGCTGCGTCTCTGTGGCGTGTGTGACGTCTCACCGGTGTCTCTGTGTGTGTTCAGAGGTTCTGGCCGCTGGAATCAGCGTGCTGCTGATCTATATTCTGACCGGTGTGCTGCTGAACGAGGCTGTGCAGAGAACCGTCCATCAGGACTTCAACATCGACGGAGACGTGATGCTGATCACAGCCGCGGTGGGCGTCGCCGTCAACCTGCTGTGAGTCCCTCACACACACACACTCATGCACACACAGATACACACTCACACACACACACACGTCTGCACACACACACACTCACGCTCACACTCACGCGCACACAGATACACACGTCTGCACATGCACACTCACACACACGTCTGCACACACTCACACAGATTCACACACACACACACAGATACACACGCACACACTTACACGTGCGCACACACACTCACACTGACACACACACTCACACTGACACACACTCACACTGACACACACACACACTGACACACACACACATACTGACTCACACTGACACACACACACACGTCTGCACACACACATGTCTGCACACGCACACACAGATGCACAGAGGCATATTATTGCTGTAACTAGTTACAGCTGAAAGTTCTTTGTCTTTCAGGTGGATACGTGGCCAACAGTCTGGCCATCATGACGGATGCGCTGCACATGCTGACGGACCTCATCGGGATCGTGGTGTCGCTGCTGGCGCTCTGGCTCTCGGCCAAACCTCCCTCCTACAGATTCACCTTCGGCCTCCACCGGCTCGGTAGGCGTCTCGTCTCGTCTCGCTGCGTCTCTGTGGCGTGTGTGACGTCTCACCGGTGTCTCTGTGTGTGTTCAGAGGTTCTGGCCGCTGGAATCAGCGTGCTGCTGATCTATATTCTGACCGGTGTGCTGCTGAACGAGGCTGTGCAGAGAACCGTCCATCAGGACTTCAACATCGACGGAGACGTGATGCTGATCACAGCCGCGGTGGGCGTCGCCGTCAACCTGCTGTGAGTCCCTCACACACACACACTCATGCACACACAGATACACACTCACACACACACACACGTCTGCACACACACACACTCACGCTCACACTCACGCGCACACAGATACACACGTCTGCACA